GCTGATACATTCAAGAGCTTCAATTTTCTATAGCAGCTCGGGCTACCGGTATGTATGGGAGATTTACATCTTGATTAGAAATGTTTTGTGAATGAGCCAAGCGATCAAAGGTATTTCTATCGTAATTCAAAAGCCAAATTAATTGCAGTTGCGAGTTGCGCCCTTATTTCAAGGTCTTCGTAAGTACTTCTTCTTAACTTGAAAATTGAAGTCTCTTATCTCAGTTTGCCTCTTTTGAAGATATGCGTAAACTTTAGGTACCTGGGTTAGCGTTGTACAGAATCATACCGAGTAACGGTAAAACAAATGTAAGGATAGGCATACAAGCAAACACTAGCAATAAGATCATATGAATTGGTACGTAAGGTAGTATTAATGCTAAGATATACGTAAGTGAAACACTGGTAGCTGCGAACGAACATGTTCGATCAAACCTAAGTTAGCACACGTAAGGATAGATATGGAAGAATAACATTGTAACATAGATGCAGGCGAACCTGCTCGATCAAACCTAAAATAGCATACGCCAAATTAGATGTATAAGAATATCATCACATACACATGTATGTGAGTATAGCCTACAACATAGATGTAACGGAACAAGGACGGTGATCACGACTATAAAAGAGCGTGTCGCACCATGCTCAGCCTTTTCATTGTGTCATACCAGCCGAAGGAAAGTGATCACGGACTTAATTAGTTAACTTTTGCTGATAGGGCTTTTTTTGACCATTACGGATAGGGAATGACAGGTGTAGCTTAGCCGTCATCTCTGAATGAATACTAGGACTGTTAACCATTACGGATAGGGGATGACAGATGTGGCTACGTCGTCATGCCTGAATAACCAAAGAACACTCAAATCTTGCGAGGTGAAGGAACAGACGAGTCGCCCTATAGGCCAAGGTTGGTTGCTACGACACCCCCGGCGTGTTCCTTTCCTTACAGAGAATCCCGAGATACAGAGGACGTGGAAAAAATTAAGTATTAGCTTGGGGAAAAAGAAATCCATTATTTTTATATGAACTTCAGGACATTATTTAACATGCTTCGGATTGTCCGATTTGGGCCAAATATGCACCGTTTTGTTGTATGATTTGTTCAAAATGCCTCTCTCATAGAAGTCCTGGTCTCTATTTGCAAAAAACTCTAGTAGCCGATTTTCACAATCCTCCCTAAATTCCAATTTTTTATCATTAAAGAAATTTTGCAATGCAAGAAAAAGATGATAATCGCTTGGTGCCAAGTCCGGACTGTAGGGCGGATGCATTAAAACTTCCCAACCAAGCTCCCGAAGTTTCTGGCGAGTCACTGTAGATGCGTGTGGCCTAGCGATGTCCTGGTGGAACACGGCACCTCTCCTGTTGGCCAATTCTGGCCGTTTCTGGTCCATCGCTATCTTCAAACGGTCCAGTTGTTGCCAGTAGAGATCAGAATTTAGCGTTTGGCCATATGGAAGCAACTCATAAAAAATAATCCCCTTCCAGTCCCACCAAATGCATAGCAAAACCTTCCTGGCCGTTAGTCCTGGTTTGACCACCGTTTGAGGTGCTTCACCGCTCTTTGACCACGATCGTTTTCGCACAGGGTTATCGTATGTGATCCATTTCTCATCTCCTGTCACCATCCGTTTAAGAAATGGGTCTATCTCATTCCGTTTGGCCAAGGCTTCGCAGATGGAAATTCGATCCATCATGTTTCTTTCTGTTAATTGGTGTGGCACCCAAACATCTAGCTTCTTTTTGAATCCAGCTTTGTGTAAATGGTTTAAAACTGTTTTATGTTCGATTTTTAGCTCCTGGGCGATGTTAAGACTGCTAACATGCCGGTCAACTTCGATCATTTCTCCGATTTTATCGACATTTTCGACGACCGGCCTACCTGTGCGAGGTGCAACTTTAACATCAAAAATTCCTGAACGGAATCTACGAAACCAAAATTGCACATGATTGGGTGTTACAGTATCGGAACCATAAACACCATTCACAATTTTAGCCGCCTGGCTTGCATTTTCGCCTTTGTCAAAGAAAAACTGTAAAATGTACCGAATTTTCTCTTTGTTCACTTCCATTTTTAACACGCTGTAACTCACAACTGAATGCACCAAACAAAAAACAGCAAAAGAATTTTTTTTACTGCGAAATGTACAGTATGTAAATTGTATGAAATTGTTTGATCGATACTTTACGAGAAATCTATTAGTGCAGCCATCTACCGAAAAAATAATGGATTTCTTTTTCCCCAAACTAATATAATCATTCGGTACGCATAAGAATCAATTAAGAAGAGTCGGGTCACCACGCTGGTTCCCTCCTGCCCCTCTTAAAATCGCGGATCATTGTAATCTTCTCTTAAAATAAATAAATAGAAACGTAAGAACAAAACCGAAGGTCAAAGTTATTTTTATACCATAAATTTTCTTGGAAAGAGTCCTGGATTGACTGAGTATACCCTGCCCAAAAAGACTCGTTACAACGTTAACGTTTTATGATGAAAATTTGGTCGTGATAGTAATTTGACGAAAAAATTAAATTGGCCAAATTTGACCCGCATAGGTCCATTTCTTGCACTACATTTCATATAACATTTCTCATGTGAGCTCTCTAGAAAAACATTTAATTCCTAAAATTTGTAATGAACATGTATCAATAGTAGCGATTTAGCAAAAAAAGTTAGCGGTAGAGTGCATCAAATAGGTCTATTCTTTAGACTCTAACATATACAGAAGTTATCATGAAAAGCAAGTTCTTACATCCAGGGAAACTTTATAAGTTTGTAAGTTTGAGGAAGCAAATTAAGTTTGCAAAATTTGGATCACGCCATGCGTTGTTTTCGGCAGTATACGGGCTTTCATAAAAAGTATGCCCGTCCATAAAAAAAATATGTGTAATTTTTCGTGGATTATTATCAAAACGAGCGAATAATTGAATTAGACGAAGTAGTATTTAGTGGTCGGCCTTCATCGATTACAATGTGTTTACTTGTTTTTTTTTATCAAAATCCACCATGAATCCGCTAGGAATAGCGGTAAGCGGCTGTTGCAATTGTTCGAATAATCTAGCGTGCTGTAATAAAATTCGCAGCAATTGAGAATAGAACAACAGTATTGCAACTACTTGCGGTAGTGATCTCGATGAATTTAACGATTAAGCAAAAAATTCAAAAAGATCTTTGAGAAGAAATTGGAAGCCTACGCGATCAATAGGAAAAACTTTTTGTTCCATTTCGAATTTTAGAGTATTTCTAACTAGAGCTTTTGGCGAGGTGAGATAATTGCCTACGACAACTGCCGAAAGAAATGAGACGAAAAGAAGTTCAATGAAAAACTCAAATATTCTTTAAATGAGTTCAATCCAAAGTTTCTCTTATCACAGCGAATTTGCTTTAGTTTTAATCACCTAATATGTTTAAGATTAAGTGAAAAATAAAAATAAAGTAAAAAATTATCTCCAAAAAAATTATTTATGTCGCTTTCAATACATGTTGAGTTTTTAATTACAACTTGTTTTCGTTAAATTTATATATATTTTCAATTTATTTTTGTGTGTTATTTATTAATGTGTGGATGTATGCAATATATTTTTCAATCACTTTACCATTTATGTAAGTGTGCGTGTATAAATGATATTTAATTTTTTGTTTTCTTTTTTTTTTTTGGTAATTTTTGTCAATCTATCAACTCGTGTTTCAATACCATTTTCGTTAATTTTTGTTAATAATGAAACTTGAAAATTGAAATAAATTCGACATTAAGCTTAAACTAGTCCAAAAAGCATTTTTGTAATAAATTTTGATCGAAACACGTTCAAATTTTTATAGAAATGTCAGTGATGTGAACGCTACTTGCTGCGAATATTTATTAGTATTTAAAAAAAAAAAACTACATATTTTGTTTTTTTTTTTAAGATATTTTGTTTTTTAATTATTATCATTTTTTTATATTTTTATCTTTTTCTCTTTTTTTATTTATTTTGAAATGAAGAATCTTTTTAATTATTTCCATATAGATTTTATATAGGAATATTTGTTTGTTAAAAAAAAATTCCATGATTGTAGCGTAGTTGTCGATCTGCCTAGGTGCTTAACAATACATATATTCTGTTATTAATTTAGGTTTTTGGTATTTATTGCAATTTTTATTGCTGTTACAAATTGCGTGTTTATACATATCATTTTACTTCAATTACTTAATATAGAGTTTAGCGTACAGGTTGAAAATGTATAATTTCGAACACACACACAAGCACAGCTTAGTGCAACTTTTGAAGTCTAGTACTTTTGTCTGTAAACTTTTTATTTTCTTCAACCAAATGTTCACTTCAGAAGGCGTTAACTTATTGCAATTGTGTAATCAACGTGAAATATTCATAAATATAAATATTGCCCGTAGGCTAACGTCGAATCTGTACATATCAACTGCTGTTATCATTTTGTTTTCTTTTTTATTATTATTATTATAATTAGTTTCGCCAGGGAAATAAATTCAAAGACTACAGTCTTAAAACAACAATATAACTGCGATTGTGTGTTTAAAACCTCAAGTGTGTTTATGTAGCAACTTTTGCTTAGTGTTTTTTTCAACTCTTAAATACACATTGTTGCCAATTTCGGTTTTTTTTAAATTTGTTTTATTTAAATTAATTGTAAGTGAAATTGGAATGTAGACAAGTACCAGAAGCATCAAGGATGTCGGCTTTAATGACCGCACATAAGATTTGAACACATGACCATTGAATTGTTAGTCGGGACCCTTTCCCTATTCGCCCACCTAGGCGGCCTTTTTTTCCTTTTAATATAAAAACTTGTAACCTAACTACTTTAAATGCTAGAAAGAGTCTTTGCTAAATTTCGCGCCTCTTGAATACAATCTTAGATTAAAAATTATATCTTTTATTAGCTATCGTTAAATGCATCGACAAGTCCATTCTCTTGCTATGATGTTATGTGGCATTTGTAAAAAAAGTGGATATTGATGCATAAACAAATATTTTTCAAGTTACCTTTTTTTTTTGAACGCATCTTGTGTCCGGCTGTAGTGTACTTTTCCTTGCATGCAATTAATTACAAGCTTGCTTATCGGGAGGGTTCACTGCAATTTGGCATTGGATAGAATCAAAGATGAATTTTCGAGAACAAAATTTTGATAGTTTTCTTGCATTATTAAGTTGGCGGAAAATTTCTTTCATATTTTAAACCAAACATTTGAATTTAAGGGTGTTTGATACGTTCCTCCGCAGTAGAATGATGGATGCTGAGTTTTTTTGCAATTGTTAGTTAGAAAGGCGGTCTCCCTTGAAACGCAATTGTCCGGAACGAAATCTGGCAAATCATCTTTGGCAGGTCCGAATATTTGCACAACTTTACTTCCAAATCTATTAGATAAGCTTTTTTCATAAATAATTGATAAATTACTTCTAATTTGAAACTCATACCAAAGGCATTGTCTTAAATGCATTTTATCCACTGTGCTTTATTTACTCCATACTTCGCAGCTAACTTAATAAGGGTACTAAAACTATCCCTCTTATATATCACGACAGGGTTTTAATAAGGCCACCTGTTCATTTTCACCTGATAAGTAAAATTACCTGAAGGTAGTAAAATACGCCAAAACTTTTCCGTCAACATCTTGTGATATTTTATCCATGAATTGCTTTTTAAGGCTTGTACAATCAACTTGAAAAAAACATTACAGGGTGTGTGATAGGCAAAATATCTTCATGCGTCAGCGCATTTGTTCTCTAAACTCAACTATTTGCACCAATTTTTCAATTCCTTTCTTTCAATCGTTTTCATCTATCACCGCCCTAGCCATGTCTTTTTGGTTGTCAATCTCTTGAACCTTTAAAACATTTTCATTTGATTACCTTCTCTTCTTTGAACGTAAACGACGGCCTACAGTCATCCACAGTTTCATTTTATCTAAGGATAATTTTAAAATAAATAGAGTGGGACGAAAGACCATCATCATCTACAAATATGTCGATATTCCTTGGTGTCTAAAACAACAGCACGAAATTTAGTTGCAATGAACGAAAAACTTACGCAACTTGCAATTCCTACTTGATGTTCACTTAAAACTTAATTCAAATGATGTGAATATACAACTATTTTGGAATCTCGAGAACAAGTCCATAGATGCAACTTTTATATTGCCCCGGAAAGGCGGTGGATATCTAAAACAGTCAATGCAAATTTGTCAGCTTTTCATTCTTCCTTCAAACTTTGTACGATGAATTGTTTTTTGTGGTTCTTTGGATGTTGTTCCTTAACATTACCTATTTTATAGCAATATTCTCTCTGTCCGAAATTTTGATATACATGTTCATTTTTATGTTTAACTTTAAGCATATCATTTTTGCAGTTCTTTGGACATTATTTCTTAATATCGCCTACTGTCTTCTCCGTCCATAATTATGATTAACATTTACATTTGAAAATATGTATATACATTTTATCGAAATGATTAGTCCAGCAAAGCATAAAAATATAAACGCTTTTAATTCAAGAAAAATATTCCCGCCTTGTTGACTTTCCTGAGAGCATTGGTCGTATTTCCGATACTGTTGGGAATTTCTTATGTTTCTTATACTACAATATTTTCGCTTTTCTTTTAATTTCATACAATTTCGAAAAAGTCGTTCTCTACTGGAGTGGTCATTGTTGTCTTTAAAAGAAATTGGTTTTCAATCAATTATTTACGCCGCACGACAAAGTCCTGTGATACCGTTTGCACCGTTTAAGAAAAACTCATTTAGTTTGAAAAAAAGGAAAGTTTTAAAATATTTTCTATAAAATAATATTTAATTTCAAGTTTGCATAATTTACGTAAGTGCAAGCAAACAGCATCCATATCGGAATTGAAGATTAGTATTTTATTATATATCCCAGCTATGGTTATATGCTTATTTAGAGAATAATAAAGTTGTACTACCCTGCGATGGCGTGAGTATCAACGTAAAAAGTGAGATATAAATTACAGAATCAATGAATAATTTAAAACCAATTTATTCACGCAATTGTTTTTTTTTTTTGCATTTTTAATAACTGTGTACAAGAGTTGATTTATAGACTTGAAATCAATTTTTTTTTCTTGAATTTAGAGACATTTTTTATTAATAAATTATAGACATTTTTTAATTAAGTACAATTGTTATATCTGCTATTGTCTGCTTTTGTTATACCCTGCAACAATTGAAGCAGAGGGTACATTTGTGCGGACATATGTAATGCTCAGACCACTTGAGGTAGCTTAGTATAATAAGCTTGTACGTCCGTTTAATGTTTGTCCATGTGTTTTTGCGCTCAATCTTCTGGTCTTATTTAATACGAACGCCAGTTCGGATCGGACCACTTTTTCGCCCACCTTCCTCCTTCACGTTGAAAAATCGTTATTTGAAAATGTCTATTATAAATTTCACAATTTCGTGCCAAAACTGGCTTTCACTTGTGAAAAATTTGATTCGGATGGGTTAATTTTTTGAACGCTTCGCCATTTTGTGCTTTCTATAGAACGTGAATCTCCATATGGTAAAAGGGTTTCATTACCAAAAATTTCTTGATAAAAATTTGTTCGTAATAAAAATTTGACACAAAATTTTCACGTAAAAATTAACTTTATCGAATTTGAACCACGTAAATCTTTTCTTTTGGATATGCCATATCATTTAATGGATCTCATGAAAAAAAATATTCACTTTTTATGATCGTAAGAGCATTTATGAAATCCGTAATAGCAATTTGATGTAGAATTTAAATTTAGTCTATCTAGATGTAATCGCGTACGAAGATCGTTATGAAAAATTAAATCGCATATGCCAAAAAGTCAAATTTTTAGTATATTATGATGAAAATGGGTGTATTGTAGCAGCGTAGCGTAACAATTTGGGTTACAAATGTCTCATGTTTAGAACTCACCATGTATAGAGACTGTTGTGTAAAGCAAGTCTTTCTATTGCGGCAACGTCTGAATTATAGATTTCATGATGGAAAACAATAAATTCTTTGACAAGTAAATTAAAGCTGCCACAGTAATTGACGTATTGATCATTCTTTCATATGAAAAGTATGCCTTTACGTAAACATAATGTGTAATTTTTGGTGCATTATCAAGAAATGGAAGGCCTTGTTGGGTGAAGTGCTGTAGGGTATCTAATGGTCGGTTTTGTTCCACCTTTGTGCTCTTACTTGTTTTTATTTATGTATATAATTTTTGTTTTTGCAAAATTCTTACGTTATTTTCTTACCCTTTTGTTACCGTAAAAGTGTTTTGTTCCGCCGGAAATCTGGGTTGCTGCTGTTTAATGTAAATTAAAATAACGTGTTACTTGTTATAATAAATGTTTATTTTAAAATTTAATATGTGGAATTGATGTTACAAGTTTGAATTCTATTGTACCATTTGCGGGACTTAAATAATTTCATTAGTGAATGTTATGAAGGATAGGATTAGTAACGGTAAGTCCCAGGAGTGACCTAAAGAAGACATCTTGAAGAAAAGCTCATATCATCGTACAGTGCCTGCCAAAATTTCTTTGTTTTTCTCTATTTTGATTATTTGCGTACGAGTTTTAGCAGCTTTAGAGGTGTTTTTGTCGCACTTTCAAAGCAATGGTAAGCTCCGAATCTGATATTTTGATTAAACATTGGGAAAATAACGTTTAAACTTAGCATTGGCGTAAAAGGAAAAGCTAACAGGAAAATAGTCTGCTTTTTTCCCTCTAAGCTAGTAACATAGGCAGCCGAAGTGATTTTAAAGTAACACATTTATTGGCGTTCACGCTTTAGAGCGGACTACGGACTCTCCACGCGGCCTAGGCCGCTGATATTTACGGGTGATTAGGTAAGCCCGCTTAGCTCACCCACACAATTATCGGTGTCTGCCGAACACTGAGAATACAAAGGGCTCTTCAAACAATAAAAACGTTTCAACTTTGGAAGAGCCGGACGCCCAGAAGAAATGAACATGAAAATTTAAAAAAAATCCTAAAAATTCTTTTTAATCGAAAAGTGAAGTTACAAGAAAAGGCTGGCCTCCTTAAAATGCCAACGGACAGTATATTCATAATTTTGAGGAATTCGGCACGAGAAGGCTGTTTTCTAAATGCGCAGCCGGTTTACTCAACGTAAAACAAAGATAAATAAAGTTGAATTTTGCGAAAACAAATGTTGTTTTCTTACTTAGTTCCAGGTATTATCACTACATTCAACCATTACTTCACTGATAAATATTTGTATAAACTGTTTAATTTTAAACTTTGTAAAACATGATTGTGTCCGGAAAGCTGACCTTAGGATATAAATTACTGCCCAAAAAGTTTCTAAGCACATTGTTTTTAAACAAAATACGGAAATCCGGAAATCTCTCCCTGGTGAGGGTAACCAAAAAACTAAACAAGGAAGGCTATTTGAAAATTCTTCAGGATTCCGCTATACCCAGTGAACTGAATCTCATTAGGTGTGTATACATTTTTGAGAAGGGTAATGATACCAAGCGCAAGAAAATAGATGAACAAAAAACATGAAAAGATTTTAAAATCATGTAAAGGCCATGTCAATCAACTGATCTTTCTCCCAGTGTCAACGATGAACTCTATAGACGGGTGAAAAGCTAAGAAGATTTGTGGCAACTTAGAGAATGAATGGAAGAAACAAGCTGAACATTATTTTAAGAAATTAGTTAATAGAATGCGCGAATACGCGAGAAGATAATACAAGGGAAACCTGGACACTTTGATGAAGGTAAAATATAATTTTATTTTCGTGTTGTATGTTAAAGTTTTGTTTAATTTTCAATTTTATATCGATGAAAATAAATTTAGACGGGTTTGGTTCGTTTTAATCGATTTTAGCATGCTGCTTTTAAATGTTTGGACGGTAGTATATAGATATATACGTATATATAAATATGTATAATATGTATCGCAAAATCAAACAATTTGTTAAGGCAAAAATCAACCAAATATATCCATTTTATGCTTAAAATTACCAGCAATATCCATTTCGTATCCATTATCTGAAATCTTCAGATATTATTTTGGATCTGTGAAAATGCTGCCAGAAGATATGTCGTAGGTTATAGACTAGAATGTATTATGCATAAGTGTTATGGAGTTGATGGTGCGTACGCAGCATCATAATGGTATTTTTTAAGCCTTATATTTTCAATATGAACTATATTAAAGTTTCGATCTATAGTTTGCTTTTTTCCCATCTTTTTGTACTCTACACAATTTATGGTACAGAGTATATTACGTGTGTGCGGACATATGTAATACCTTTTCGGCTTTTAGAAATAAAGCGTTGTATGGAAAAAACTTGTAAATTTCAAAATTTCTTGACAAAATGTATTTCAACTGACTAATAGTATTTCAACATTCTAAATTGGTATGAATAATTTGATTCGACTGCGACAAGGGCGAGGTGAAAAGTTATGCGGAAAGAAATTTCAATTTTCCAAATTTCTCGACAAAAGTCGCTGAGTAAACGTAGTACTCATATGAACATTCACACAGAAACTGAAGCTTTATTTGCTAAAAAGGTCGAATTTTCTCCATTTCATTGTGAAATTTAAGTCATAATAGTAAACTGGCAAAGATGTTTACGTTACTGAATTTGAACCACGTAGATCTATTTTTTGCATACCACCGCATGTAGGGATTCTCTTGTATGCTAAAAAGGATTAATTGTTAATTTTCTTGTGATCAATATTTGTTCACGGTAGTGATTAAATAAAAAAAATTAAGTGGACCTAATTTCGACGACATGGGTCTATTTCTTGGCCTCACTCCATACGAGATATTTTATGAGTAGCAAGCTCCTCGGAAAAAGACTTAATTTTTAATATTTTATGATGAAAATTAATTCATAGTAGCGTTTTAGCCAAAAAATTAGCTGTAGGGAATGTGGATGTGATAGCAAACGAAAACTCTTATATGGAGAGTAAATCGAACCTCTTAATAAATGGATTTTCATGAAAATTATACTTTTGCATGAATGAATTATGCGCTTTTTGGTGTGTTGTCACTAAAACGAGCGAATGACTGCACGCGCGGAAGTAGTGCAGGGTACGCAATGGTCGCCCCTGGCTGACAATAATGTTCGTAGTTGTTTTTTTTGCCAACATTTTATCGGCACATTGCAATCTTACGTAAATCTTGGGACATCCTATGTAATTGTAAAATGTACTAATCGTTTAGTCATAAAGTAACTTAATATGTTCATCATTTTGCGAACAAGTTTGTACATATACCTCATAACTTTGTTCAATAGTTAATATATATTAATTTGATAGTCGATCTATTATTTCCGATGTCTGCGCTTCTGCATATTGTTCGAAAAATGCGCGAACATAAAGAAACTGCAGTTTGATTAGTAAATGTATATACAACACGGAAAGATATAATTTGAACAGCAAAGTTATGATGTTCATAATAAATTAAATTGCGCTTAAATTGACACTTGTTATAGGAAAGGAAGAAAAAATAAATAATATGCACATAGAGATGTATGTGGTTGAAAGTGTTTTTGTTTGTTATACAAATAAATTTTTTTTCAAATAAATTTGTATTGTTGAATATATTTATTACTTTAGGAATATCTCTGATGTCTCTGAGGGTTTAACGTGGGTACACTACCGTGAAGGGTTAACCCCACGGTGCCCGATGGCACACGGAGTGTGAAACACTCGAACACTCCCCGAGGTTAATAATCCTCGCAACATACGGTGCCGAAGTCGGCGCACACGTTGCCATGAGGAATATTAAGTCCCCGAGTACCAGACGAGATACGTTATGGTCGCATCTCCCCTCTGGTGAG